TGAATTTTATCAAGCTGTGCAGTTAGTATGTGATTCTCACACATACTAACTATTCAAATAAATGCCCAAAATCCTTGAGTCCAAGTTTTACAATATTCAGAGATACCCTGGCTAAATATGTGCTCTAATTTTAATCAGTTGCCAATGAGCAGTCCTTAGTGAAAACAGGTTATAGTGAGCATTGTGCCTTGAGCAGTCCTCGGGACTTATAAAATGTTTCACATTTCACTGGTGCAACCAAACAGGAGCAAAGGTATTAACATTTCCACCTGCTCTCCTCTGAGTCTGCAGAGAAAGATGGGAGGTGTGGCTGTCTGCACACTCTCTGTGGAAGTGACAGATGCAGGCAGGTAGGGGGCATCCCTGTTCCTTGTCTAAACCTGAGATGTACTTATGTAAAAAGATTCATACATTACATTCCTTTCCATATTTTCCAAATTTATATATATTTATATTTATGTATAACATAAAACAATAAAGAGATGCTATATCTCCTACTTATATAAAGATAGATAAATAGATACAGTTAGATAGATAACATCTCCTTATTGTTTTAACATACATTTCTTTGATTACTAGTATGACTAAATTCTCTGTCTAATTAAGAAAAAGTAGATGCCAGAGTTAATAGATGGACAAAAGAATGCAATTTATATAGCCTTTCCCTGTTTGATACTTGACTTTTTCTTAGCAGCCTGTGCTTTTCTAAAAAGTAAGAATACTTATTCCATATCCCAGTACCAACAGAATGTATTCAGAACAAGGTCAAGGCAAGCAGATAATGCAGGAAGAGGGCAGATGATAAATGGGAGCATGGCTAAAGCTTTCTTTGCAGCAGACTCACTAGCTGTATACACAAATGTAAGGGAATGCATGTATTGTCAGCTCTGTTACTGGGTACCTTCAGTCACCTCTCTGGACCTCAGTTTTCCCACCTATAAAATTAGGGTATTTCACTAAGTTGCAGACTACTGATGCTAGAGAAAACTTTAGAGAGCATCCAGTTGACCTTGCCCTTTATAGATGCACCCACTGAGGCCTGACTTTAGAAGAATGTGCTGGTGTGAGCTATCACTGAATGTCCCAGTAGACTGTTGTCTCCCTGCTATGGTTTGAATGTCCCCCAAAATTCATGTGTTGGAAACTTAATTGCCATTGTAACAGTATTAAGAGATGGGGTCTTTAAGAAGTGATTTCGCCATGAAATCGCGACCCTCATGAATAGTTTAATGCCATTATTGCAGGAATTGGTTCATTTTTATGGGAATTGGATCCTGATAAAAAGGATTAAGTTCAGCCCCATTTCTCTGTCTTGCACGCTCACTTCCAGCTTCCACCCTCCCACCATGGGGTGACCCTCACCAGATGCCAGTGCCATGCTCTTGGACTTCTCAGCCACCAGAACCATGAGCCAAATAAACTTTTATCTTTACAAATTACTCAGTCTAGGGTATTCTGTTATAGCAGCAGAAAATAAACTAAGACACCCTCCAACTTCAGCTCCAGTATTTCGTTGATTTCTGGACAACCTGTTTGTCATCATACACAGAGCTAGCTGTGGCTATTTTCTTTGTTATTTTACCCATCAAGAGTGCTAATGTATCATTCAGATGATCTTAAAAAAGCTCTACTTATGAAGCAAAAGTTCTGCTCTTTAAAGTGATCAATGAATCATGACATGAGGGATTTCTTAATTATGAGTAAACTTAGGGATGGAGCCCTCCTAGGGCTAATTTAAATGGAATAGCAGGTAATAGTTCACTTGGGTTCATTTTCTAGTTTTTAAAATGCCATTTCTTTTCCAGCAGAATCAATGTTTAAGCTATTAACCCAGCTCTCACCAGACATTTTTCTTGTGGTTTGGTTTATTCTGGTTGATACTTAAGTCTTCCCAAAAGGAAGCACCAGATCATAGGCATGTGCTCTGAGACCCTGACGCAGGCATCATGGAGGTTGTGGTGGGGACCTGGTGTCACGGGGAGAGGAGAGGGTTTGGACAGACATAGGCCAGGACTGGCATTGCAGAACCACGTCATCTCACCATGTGAACCTGAGGATGGGGGTATCTCAGTCTCATCTGTAAAAGGCACAACAGGAAAAAAAGTTTAAGCAGCCTGGCATAATTTTCCTAATAGTCCTGTTGGGAGTGTAAATTGGTGTCACCTTGTAGGAGGGTAATCTGGCAATGGCTACCTGACTTTAAAATGCCCACACCCTTGACCTGCAATTCTGCTTATAAAAATCGATTCTTCAGATTTACTTGTGTATTCAAAATGACTTACCTGCAAGGACAGCCATTGTAGCATCACCTGTTATGTCAAAACATTTGAAAGTGACCTGAATCAAAGAGGACTGGTCAAATAAATTGTAGTACATCCATTGAAGGGAAGAGACCACAACTATTAATAAGAATTAGACAGCTTTATAATAAATGATTTGGAAAGTTATCTAAGATGAATTGTTAAAAGTCTAGATGCAGAGTATTAAGTATATGAATATAAATATGTAAGTATATTAAAAAAGGAATATGTATAAACATGCTAATGTATTCACACAGTCTCTTTGGAAGAATATACAATAAAGTGGTAATGGTGGTTGCCCCTGGGGAAAACTACTAGAGAAGCTGGGGATGCCACACAGTTACTCAAGTCCCAGAGTAGACATTGATCATTTGTCCTCAACCAACCAACCCTTCTTCCCTCCCTCCCTCCTTCCCTCCCTCCCCCCTTCCTTCCTTCCTTCCTTCCTTCCTTCCTTCCTTCCTTCCTTCCTTCCTTCCTTCCTTCCTTCTTTCCCTTTCCTTTTCTCTTTCTCCTTTTTGCTTTCCAGTTAGTCCAGTAGCAGCTCCTTCTTGTTTAGATATACCCACTCCCTTCCCTCTGCATTCTGCCATCTCTCCCAGATCACTGAAATAGCAACATGACTGGGCATCCTCCTTTCAGTCTTGGCCCTTTCTAATGCCTTTTCCATCCAGCAGTCAGTGTCATCTTTTAGAAGTAAGCTCTTCCACAGCTCTCTGTTGCAACCACAATAAAACCCAATGGTCTTGCCTAAGACCACCTATGATGGAGGTACTCCTACTTTCTAACTTCATCTCAGCCATACTGACTACTTTTATATTCCCCAGATCAACCCTTCCTGCCTGTAAGCCCTTAACTAGATGTCCCTGTTCCTTGTTCTTCTCCAAGCTTTTCCATAACTTACATGTTTCCACCTTTCAAGTCTCAGGATCTGGGTAGAATAGTGCCCTCGCCAAGTTTCTCCCTATCTTTGTCAAGATCACTCTGGTTTTTCTCTCTTAGCATGTATCACAGGTTGTAATAGTTTGTTGGTTAAAATCCAGCTACTGGATTTTAAGCCCCGTGAGGGTAGGATTTTTGTATATATTGTCCACCTTTTCCCCAAAGCCTGCCTCAAGGCCTGCCATGGAGCAGAGGCTGAATACATAACAGATAAATAGATGACCACCTGGATGAATGAACGAAATTGGAAATGAGTCCACTTTGGATTCTGGCTTGGAAGGTGGCTCGAGGGCCAGCTCCTCTGACAAAGTAGATTGATGATGATAGACCAAGAAAGCCACCTGTCTGCCTTGGTTACAGAAACAGAGGCTTTTGGCTAGTCCTCACTTAGGAAAAACAGCTCAACCCTGACTTGCCCTGGGCCATAGTGGTTAATGCTTACTTTGGAACAAAACCCTCAGTGAACCTTTGCTTTCTGGCCCCGGCTGTGGCTTTCACTAATCCCATTTGGTGCAGGAGTTGGAGAGCTGGTATTCAGGGCCTGCTCTCCAGGTGTCACCGCTGTGGTCTTGTCATTGCCTTCAAAGGTGAGCAGGGAGCTTCGCTTCAGTCCCAGACTATGTCACTTAGTAGGTGACTGATCTTTGGTAAGAATTTTATCTCATGGAACCGCTTTTATTTTTTCTCCCAAACATATCTGTTCTGCTTTTGTATAACTGGAATTAGCACAAAATTACTGTGACAAAATGCTGGCCTTGACCTTATTCTTGGTCTCTTTATGCCCTCATGTTCTAGAATTTGTTGATTCACTCACTTGTTTCTTTAGCGTTTGCTATGTAAGAACCCACTTGATTCTTACTACATCCAGAACTCTGGGTCATGCCCAGACATTGACACAGGTCAGATTCTTCATGCATAAAGTTGATTGGGAATGAGGATTGTAGGGCTGGGCCGATGGAGATGTGCAACCACAGTGCAGTCTCAGCAAAGATCTCAGCTGACTTCAGAGCAGCTCTAGGTTTGAGATGGTTGCTAGAGTTTTCTTGAATTGAGTCAGAGGAGCTAAGCCTTCCTACCCCACATTGACCAGTTTGTGGGACCAGATTGGCACTGGGAAGAGGATGTGACCTAAGGCTAGGGGCTGTATTCAGCTAAGGCAATTCTGGAGAATGTCCAACATTTCCAGCAGCAGGGGAAATGCACGCCTCGGTCCAAGAGGAAGGATCTGGGCAGAGCACTGTGCATCTTCTGCACATGGTTGCCTGGCCCTTGCAGAGATGGCAGTACAGGTCTTGCACCTGTGGTTCTGGGCACTTCTGACTTCTAGTTCTGGCTCAACCATGTACCAGCTGGTCCCTGGACCATGGACAAGCTCCTTCTCCTCTGTAACTAGGGATGCCTCCTACCTGTTGAACTTTCCTCACTGCTAACTGTGGAATGTTTATAGTTGCAGAGGGGCTTAAAGTGAGAGAAAGGACTTTGACATGCTGAATATAGCAGTAAGCCCTCACTCGCACACCTTGGTGGGAGCAGGGGTGAGCTTGGGTAGATTAAACACCAGCCCAGGTGGGGTGTGGAAGTGCCATGCAGGCTGTGAAGAGCAGTACAGGTCTCGGGCAGCAGAACTGTCATTCATACAAGGCACTGCTCTCACCTCCAAGTGCCCCATGGGTGACTGGTCACTACCCTCCTGTTTCCCCCAAGAATCATGGGCATGCTTCCTGTGTACCACCTGATTTTGGCACTCTCTCCTTCCAGGTGACACAGAAGTTCTCCCTGGTGACTGTTCAGGGACACCTGGTGTCGGAAGGGGTCCTGCTCTTTGGACATCAACACTTCTACATCTGCGAGAACTTCACACTGTCTCCCACGGGTGATGTCTACTGTACCCGTCACTGCTTATCCAAGTGAGTTACCCACTTCTTCCAGCAGATTCTTCCCTGAGCCCTGTTCATCCTTACCAGCCGCCCTCACTCTTTCCCTTGTCACCTTGTTCTTACAGTGGGCTTGGGTTTGGGCCTGAAACTGAGCCATGAGATAAAACAGAAGAACCTACTGGCATAGGCCATCCATAGCCACGGTTCCCCCAAGCTGCGGTTGGGACTGTGTACCAATGTGGCAGCTCCTCGCGTCTCTCCTGATGTGGAATGTCAGGACTCAGAGATCAGTCCTTAGGTTATTTGCGTGGCCGAATTCAGTCGCCATCAACTTACTCACTCAACAACATGTTGGTTGCTCATTCTGTGTAAGACAACAGGCACCGCCCCTCTCTTCTGAGGGATGTATTGCAATTGGAAGCATGCACAGGTTCTTTTGGAAACTGTTGGCCACACACTATGATCATGGGACAAAATCTGTGTTATGAGAGGGCTCTGCAGGCTTCAGGCTTGGAGGGATGGCCTGGGACTGGGGCGGTGGGGAAGAGCGACCTGAGGAAGTGACCAAGATCTGGATCTTGCAGAATGGGTGAGACTTGGGAAGAAATTTGAAGTCATTTTTGCACCAACAAATACCAGAGGACTTTGGCAGGAAATGCCGCGTTCTTTAGGATCAAGTGCAATTGGTCTATTCGGGTGCAGTCAGCCATTATTGTGCAATTCTGTGTTTATGAAGCAAGGCCATTCAAAATCAAATTGACTAAACTTTTGCCAAAAGTACAGCTGTCAAGTATATACTTTCACTTGGTCATTGCCTTTGAAGATAGTTGGATGCAGATTTCTTCATGCAGATAGGCCTTGCTTTTCCAGTTGACCCAGGTTCAGATAATGACAAGAGACCTCTTAGTCCAGTGGCTCTCAAACTAACTGACACCAGCATCGCCTGGAGGGCTCGTTAGCACACAGACCCCTGGGTCTTGCCCCACCCTAGTTTCTAATTCAGTAGGTCTGGGGCAGGGCCTTAGGCTTAGTAAGTTTCTCACTGCTGCTGATTCTGTCGCTGGTCCGGGACCACACTTTGAGAGTCACTGTTTTAGACTACTGACAGAGGAGTCCGAGTCTTATCTGCCAGTAACCAAGAACCTTAACTTCCAGTCGTCCTATCACTTCCAGCCTATGTCAGCAAGCAAGAGTTGGGGGAGTGTGGAAGAGTAGATGTCAGCCCACCTTGGGTGATTTAAATCAGAATACTTTAAACTTGGCATTTTTCTCACTGCTAATTTTGATCTTTTATTCATACCAAACGTTCACCGATTGTTGTGCCTTCTGTGCTTCTCCAAGGCAGGAGAAGCATAATTAATACTTGGCATGCTCATCCCATCTTACTGCTCATGTTTTATTGATACTGATCAATATGGACAATGGGCCTGCAGCCGTGCCTCTCTAAGAGCTGATGAAAGCTTTCTGCTCTATCTGTATGCACAGCGTGCCCCTATGATGACTCGCATAATCCACTGCTACACTCTTCACCTCTGGTTTAGATTGACTTAGTGTTAGATAAGATCTTATTGATTAGGTAAATTGTGTTTATGAGGTACATCTAATCTTGATCAAATTCACTATAGCTGCACTTTTAATAGAACCCCAGTGGTCAGGTTTTATGTACTCACTTGATTGGCAAGGACAAACAAGGGAGGCTTCTAAGGTCTGAAAAATGGACTTTTCTAGAACGCAAGCAGGAGTAGAGTGAGAAGAAATTACTACCCTGGAATTGCACTGGGGAAGTGCCCAGGTAATTATAATCACCATACCTCAAAGAAACATTTGTTACTCAGACAGTGCTTTCTCTCTGGGGTCTTGTCTACTGCCCTAGGAAACTGCTGGCACTCCTGGAGATGCAGTTCTGAGAGACTATTAGATCATGCCAGATCAATGGGGATTAAGTCTTATTTTGACCATGAAGATTAAAGAAGATACATGAATAAGCTTGTTAAAAATAAAGCTAAGTCAAACCTGAAATGTTTCTCTAAAAGACTGCTATGAAATTGAGTCAGTTGCGCGTTAGACCTTGAAAGAACCTCTCCGATGTACAATAAAAATATCCTAAATCAGACTCAAGAACACTGCAGACTTCTCGACAGTGATTGGACTTTGGACTTTGGAAATTTCCTCAGAAACTAACAGCCTTCTGAGAAGGTTAGCTTTTGCTTGTAGTAGGTCCCTTTCTTAGCTGATTAGGGTGGCTGTATTCATTTGCTAGGGCAGTCAAAAACTGGGTGGCTTTAAAAAAAAACAGAAGTGTGTTTTTTCATAGTCTTAGAGACTGGCAGCATGAAACCAAGGCAAGATCACGCTTCCCCTGACTGCTCTAGGGAGACACGCTTCCTTGCCTCTCTCAGCTTCAGGTGTTCGCAGAGCATCCTTTGCCTCCCTTGGCTTGGAGATGCATTGGTTCACGCACGTGGCCATCTGTCCCTGTGTCTTCACATCATCTCCCCTCTGTGTGTCTGTCTCCATGTCCAAATTTTCCCTTTTTATAAGGACACCAGTCAGGTTGAATTTGGGCCCACCCTAATGGCTTCATTTTAACTTGATTACCTCTGTAAGTATCCTGTTTTCAAATACAATCACAATGTGAGGTACTGGGATTTCGACATATCTTTTCTCCTAAAAGCTTTGTACCATTTTCCAGAGCGTTCTTCCATGTGTCGTCTGTGTTTCAGAGTCCTGAGTTGCAGAAACAGTCAGCACAGAGCAAACTGAAAGCAGGGAGCCAGTGGGAGAGCTCCATAAAAGCTAGGGAGCTTGTCTGCCTCCAGGGAAAAAAGGCACTGTTGAAAGAGCTTGGGTACTAGAGTCGGAGGACTTGAGTCTGACTCCAAGTTCCCCTCTTACGGACCACATGACCTTGGAAAAGCCTCACCTCTCTGGAATGCAGTTTCTTCACTTACGATATAAGAATAAAAATAAGTCATGCTCAGTATAAGGGTTCCTTATGAGAATCCAATTAAACAATAAATAGAGAAATGTGTGGCAGGCCAGAGAGCATGACAGTCACTCAGCAAACATGCCCCGAGCTCAGGGGAAGATACAGAGGACAGAGAGCCATGGGTAAAGCCTGTGTCTTTGAAGGGTCTGCAAGGGAGAGAGACCAGCCAATCACACAGCTAAGGTATGGAGAATATTTGCTGTGGTTCCCACAAGCATGGGACGGTGGGAGCACAGAGGAGTGACTTTATCATCCTCATCAGTACCTTGACCTGGAATACTGCTAGATCTAAGCCAAAGGTAGGAAGAAGAATTGTCTCTATGGCCTTGCTGGGAGTCAGAGATGTGTAGGGGCAGCTCAGCTGAGATCTGGATGGGGCATTAATAATGGACAAATAACCTCAGCCAGCAGCAGGTTTTTATTAAAGCATCCTGGCAGAAGCATCCAGAACCAAAGCTGTGTTTTGTGTTTGATCTATCCTATAATGACGTGGCTTAGAAGAGAGGGCCTGGGAGGATTCTTCTGGGAAGGGCCTGCAGAGAGCCTGAATCTACAGGCTCGAAGTCCAGCTGTTCAGGGGCCTAAGCAAGGGGTTCAGGCTGTGTCTCACTTGGACAGCCTTCCCTGCTGCCCAGCACAAGTCCAAGCTCTTAGTGCTGTACATGCTGGACTGCCACTGACTGTAGACTAGAGAATTCCTTCTGGGCCTCTGTGACTGCTTGGCCTCTCTGGACTTCCCCAAGAAGTGGAACATGGAGGCTCCATGGTCTGCATTGTCGGCTGGGCCATGGGGACCACACTGGGAGCTGGAATGGGAGGAGCTGAAACAATTTCCTCACCCACTCCCTGCCACCTAGAGCTGGGGCTGGCAGGACCACCTTGGGGCAGGGGCCCTTGCAGCCCTTGGCTCTCTGGGCCTGTGGTTGGCCCACAGGCTTCTTGAGGGCTGGCATGCTTGGGAGGCCTTCGTTTCTCAATCCTGGCATTTTATCAAAATGGTTGTGGTTGTATACACAATTTAAGATGACTGTGTGCCCCAGATGTCCAGAAATGTAACTGTCTATAACTGAAATCAGCTGTATTTCTCATGTTCCCATGTGTCCAGATGGTAAAGAGTTTCATGTGATTAGCTCAAGGCATTTCAGCTATTTCCAGTGTACAAATTGTTCTCTTTGGAAATAAATATTTGGACAAATTTATTATCTTCCCTTTCTCCTCCTGTCTTCTGCTTCTCTAGGAGGAGGGGTCACTCTGAGATCTTTCAGGGAAAGCCTCCTGCACACCCCTCTTAATTCTCCTCATCTTGGGACTGCCTGATGCCTACTGGAGGCATGCCTCTCTTCCTACAGGCGCCTGGGAGGTGGGACCCACGTCACATGTGGGTCCCTTCTCTGCCTTTTGAGTGGGTCCCTTAGCAGCTCTCCAAGATTTCTTCTTACCACTCAAGGCCTGGCCTGGGAATTTTAAGATGCACCCCTTACACTTTCTGTCTCCAGCCTGGGTTTTGCAAACTGAATGAGCTCTGGCTTTCAGGAAGTTGTTTCTGCTGTGTGATTGAGCAATTGCCTCAGAATTTAGTGCACCTCTTTGTCCTGGGCTGGGTATACCAAGCAACTCAGGCCGGTGCCTTTGTATGGTCTGCAGGAGAGAGAGACCAGTCAGACATGCAACCAAGGTGCAAAAGATATTTGCTGTGGTTCCTGCTAGCAGGGATGCTGGTGGCTATGTCATCCCCACCAGCACCTTGACCTGGGATGTGGTTTGACCTAAGCCAAGGGTAGGAAGAATTACCACTGTGGCCCCACTGGGAGTCAGAGATGTTTAGGGGCAGCTCAGCTGAGAGCCAGAAGCTCTCAGGGCTGCCAAATATGTGGGGAAGGTGGGCAAGGGTCCTAAGGAGCTCCATGGTTTAACATCAGACATCACTCTGCAGTGTCAGTGAGAGCCTCACTCACCTCTGGAGAGGAGAACTCATCCCAAAGGCTCCCAAGGCCCAAGACAGGATGGGCGGCCTCTCAGGATGCAAGCGCTATGCAGATGCACTCCAGGCACTGCCCTCATGGCTCGCCAGTGGCCTCTCTGCCTTCTTCTGCTCCCCTCCCTCCTTCTCCCTGTGGCGCATGACCCCTCCTAACTCTGGTTTGCACTCAGTCTCATGGTCACCTGGCTTCCTTCCAACCTCCTTGCTAAGTGCTCTGTAGACCCAGTCCTGCCAGGAAGGCTCTGAGTCCTGCCAGTCCCTGTGGCAGCCACGGGCCACATCTCACTCAGTTACCTCGTCCAGCCTCTCAGCCCTGCCAGGGAAAGAGTTCGTTCAATACAAAACAAGAACACTTGGGCAGAGGAACTAAGGTGTGTGACAGGGCAGACATCCTGGGGCTGAGACTGTCATTCCTGGGCAGAGGTAGCTGGCACAGGCTCGGGGAAGCCAGTGAAGGGAGGCCACAGGAATCCACCAAGGCTCCTGTGTGTGGTTTACGGTCATGCACAGGACCCATGAAGCCCTCCCTGCTGCCCCCTACTTTTGGCCAGGGGCCTTCTCACTCCCACTCCCCTACCTTTCGTCAGTGTCGTCCTGAAAACTGTGCTATCATCTTGCTGTCCCCTGGGACACCCTACCCTGTTCTTCCAGGGCAGGGCAGCTTTCATGTGTCAGCAACTGTTGCCAGAGCTGACATGGACAAGCACTCAGCAAGGATTTCTCAGATGAGCGGGACTAGCACACTGATTGGCAGTGACCACCGCATCCCTCTGATGTGTCCTTGGAAATGTGGGTGGGGCTGGTGGAGGGCAGGAAGAGGAAGAAGCCTGCACGTGTCCTCACTCTGATGTCTGAACATGTGCCCTGCATGGCTGTTTCCTTTTCAGCATCAGCGATCCATTCATTTTCAACCTGTGCAGCAAAGACAGGTCCTCTGACCATTACTCATGCCAGCGCCATGGTTATGCTGATGTGCGGGAGCTACGACAGGCTCGCTTCCTCCTGCAGGTAAGCACACTGCATACTGGCCCTCCTGGGGCCGGCGAGAGGCAGGGTCATGGGACAGGTGATCCAGAAGCCATCCAGAGACACGACTCTGTGACTCATCTTTGTGCCTGTGCACAGCCCAGTGCCCTTCAGGAGACATCCGGGAGTTCCCTGGGCTTATGTTGGCCCTGGTCCCAGGTGGGAGTTCTGACTTCTGCCCACTCTCTCCAGTCCCTAGTCCCTGCCATTCGCTGTTGGGCCTTTCACTGTGTCTTGTAGGATTCAGCTGCTTCACTGTTTTGATCTTGACATAGCCCAGAGCTGCCTTGGAGATTTAAGAATACAGGGCAGGGCAGATGCATTGCCTCCCAGTAGAGTTGATGACTGGGAGTGGAGTGCCCTCTGCCTTGCCCTGCCCACAGGTGCGAGACCTCCCTTGTGACATACTCTCCCCATCTCCCCAAGGTGCTCACTTATCGCCAAGCTCCTGCTCGGCCCTGTTTATGGGGCTAAGTGGTTTAGGGATCTCCCAGCTGCCACTTTCAACCAGGGTTTTTTAGTGTCTCACCCACTGCCTTCAAGGGCTTAGCCAGGCATGCAACAGAGATGGTGGCTGCTTTCAGAGGAGGAGCTCAGCCATGGCTGGTCATAACCTCCTGCTTCTCATCTCACCTTACATATAGATCACACTTTCTAGAAACATCACCTGAGCAGCAAAGGGAGCAGGGTAAACTTGAGGGGCCTCCAGCGACCTCAAACACACCTTGCCTTCATCATCCCAAGCTCAGCAATAGCAAAGCTGCATCCCCATCCCCTGGGCCTCCAGGATAGCTGGCAGAAAAGAGGATCTAAGGGACCATGTGACAGGAGGGGCAGGATCCCTTTCCACCCTCTCTGAAGGGTCACCGTTAGTTCCAAAGACCAGCAAGGGAGCAGTGCGTAGCCTAGATGAACTAGATGTCTTCATTTGTAAATCTATTTTCTGTAGGTACGTCATTGATTCATCCAGTGACCCTTCCTGCAAGAGGTCTCATTATCATTCTCTGAAACCAAAGCACGAGCACTGGGTGTGGTGGCTCATGCCTGTAATCCCAGCACTTTGGGAGGCTGAGGGGCAGATCACAGGGTCAGGAGTTCGACATCAGCCTGGCCAACATAGTGAAACACTGTCTTTACTAAAACAAAAAAATACAAACATTAGCCGGGCATGGTGGTGCATGCCTGTAGTCCCAGCTACTCGGGAGGCTGAGGCAGGAAAGCTGCTTGAACCTGGAAGTGCAGGTTATGGTAACCTGACATTATGCCACTCCACTCCAGCCTGGGCAACAGAGAGACTCTATCTCAAAAAAAAAAAAAAAAAAAAAAAGGAAAAAGAAAAAGAAACTGAAGCTCAGGGGGGTCTTTAAGGGGGAGGAGTGGATTTCTGAAAGGTCCCAGCTGCCATGCTGTCAAAGGTTTGCCAGCAGCTTGCTCAGCCCTCTCATGAGCACTCTTCCTTCCTCTGCTGCTTTTCCCTGCAACACGGTTCTTTTTGTCTGAGCTTCCTGAGCACCCTTGCAGGGTGAGGAAGCTGGAAGGGCAGAGTGGAAGCAGCAGCCCTGCCCTGATGGTTCAGTGCTGCTGGGTCTGGGCTTTGCCTCCACCTCAGCTCTGCCACGTTAGCTCCTGTGGGCACCTCTCTGGTTTCCTTTCCCTCCAATGAGCAGGAGGTTACATCCTTCCTTTCCCACTATTATGCATACAGCCTTGAGTATAATTTTAGGTACAAAGTCGGTACTCAAAATTATTTGTTGTGATTATATGTCTACCTTAAATGTTATACAGTACTCTATAAGTTATAAGTATCAGTCAGTGGGTTTTTTCCCCTAGTACATGGTGATTGTTTCCAGAGGATTGGTTCACCTGAAGTGGTGGAAGCCAAGGGGAGAGCTTTATGAGCAAGGCCATCATTTGTCCATCTCTGGATTCTCCCAGGAGAAGGGCAGAGCTTGGCTCTCCAGGCATCCAGGGCAAGCTGTACCCTCCACAAATTCTGCATTCACTTCCTGTTTTCCACATTATTTATACTTCTATTTGTAGAAAAAAATCCAAGCCTCTCCTGCCCACTAGCAGAGGACAGGAAGTTTGCAACATCCTTGCACATACCTTCCTTCTGCTCAGGAGAATTAATGAACTTGACTTTGAGAACTCACTTCCAGCCAGGTAGACGCAGGGCAGTACTCCATTATTGGATGCAGTACCCACCTCTGAGTCTGACCCTTAGCCCACCCCACCCTCCCTCCATGTCCAGTCTCACCTCTCCCTGACCCTCTCTTCACCCTGGAAATTCTCTCTCCTTGGCCTCATCTCATCCCTGAGGCTTGTCCCATAGGTGACTCAGTCTCTTTCTTATTCCAAATCTGTTATTTACATAGCTTAAACTAGAAAGGAGTTAGAGAGGAAATAAGATGAGAGAAAAACAAAGAAAAAAAATAATTATGTGAATTTTAATTAGGCATTAAGGAAGTACCCCTAATAAAAACCTTACTATGCCAGTGGAGCCACATCAAAATGGCCTGGGCAGAGCACCCTGTGCTGCTTAAATGGCCTGGGCAGAGTGCTGCATCTATAGATCAGCTCATGAGGCTGTCCAGCGGCACCCACCAAACTAGCTCCCCTAGTGTTTCTGGTAAGGTGACTTCTGGCTCAGGAAACCAAACCCATAACTCAGAGGTGAAAGTGTCTGAGGCTGGCATGGGTGCTTTCTCCCATGTCTGCCTCATGCTTACCCTGAAGTGGGCCTTTTGCTTCCTGCTTCAAAGGAACTTGGAGCTGTGGTCATGTCCCCAGCCCTCCCACACATTCTGCAGAAGCACCCCATCCCTGTTATCAAGGTCTTGCCACCCATGGGAGCTCAGAAGGACTACCCAGGAAGGGTGACCTGACACAGAGACCCCCAATGGCCCATTTCCAGCAGCTCTGCCACCCTGGAGCATCTCTAGTCCACAAAATATCAGGACATTAAAAGGGGCTTCTCTTCACAGGACATTGCCCTGGAGATCTTCTTCCACAATGGATATTCCAAGTTTCTTGTCTTCTACAACAGTGATCGGAGTAAGGTCTTTAAAAGGTAAGGGCTTGAAAATCTTCATTCTGAGAAAACTGATCCTGAACTGAGAGCAGAGGGGCAGAGAGCAATCATCTCTGTGCTCAGGAAAAGTGTTTTCAACCCACAGCGAGCTCCACTCAGGTTGGGCCCAGGGAGGCACTGCTAGCCTGCAGAACTGCCAACTCATGAAGGGAGGTACGGAACCAGAGAAGGTCCTTGTTTCGGCTCTAGAAAGCAGACTCCATTATCCTGAACTGAAGTGGCATAGAACAGGAAGACTGAAGGGGGAAAAAAAAATCACACAGCTACAACAGAGTTAAGAAACTGGCTGTTTAATGGACCTTCCAGAATGTTCTGGCTTTATTTTCTAATTTTCCAAGTAATTTTTTTGGCTTAATCTTTCTTTTTGATCCCAGTTGCCAATTTTAGTTGCTCCAATTTCGTATTTCATTGGAAGGAATTCCAAACAACTGATTTCCCACATGTGCACTGAACATGTTTTTCTTAAAGAGAGAAGCCTGCTGTTTTAGTTAACTTCTCTTTCTCCAGATGGATCAATTTAAGAAATCTAAGCCAGTGTGTAAGTAAGTTCTTAATACCACAGTTATTTGTTTTATTATCAGTAAAGTTATAGATCAGTAGATTGGTTTGTAGAGAATCTAGAAAGAAGGCAGGATGGTCAGTTCCTCATCGTGATAGCAAACAGAGAGGCTGATTAACGGAGGGAGTGGTTATGAGCTGCTCCACGTGGGCTGGAAGTTCCGAGGAGACATTTGACATCCCCCGGCCTGGGAGCCCATTTTGCGCTCAGAAGTTCAAGCCTTACCTTCTTGGTGGCCCTATGGAACTGGCACCAAAGTCTGCTACTGCATCCAAGAGGCAGGGCCAGGGTGGAGAAAAACAACCTGTAGAGAGGCTTTTGTGCCAGTTCTAGGTGCACCTCCTTGGACTCAGGTGAGCCTTCCCATGCAGTTCTTCCAAGCTGCTGTCAGATTGCCCCCTAAAATTGTCTTCCAGGTCTAGTTTAGACCAAACCAAATAAGCAGACATGCAACCCATTAAACTCTATTCATTTCCCCCTATGGTTTCTGTTCATTAAACAAGGTTTTTCACAGTTGATTTAGAAACCTCACACCTCCACAGCTCAGGGTGTGAATGTGGCCTAATGCAAGCTCCACAACCACTACCCACTCAGCTCAAGGAACCTGGCATTAAGATGGCATTTGTCCCCACAGCGACACACTGGAATGTACGGCAGGGTCGTTGACATTGGCAATGTTGTCAAGGGCCTGGCCCAGAGGAGGTACCTCACTCACACTGCCTAAGTAATTATTGTTTTATCGTTGTCACTGTTGGTATTAAGGCAATAGTGTGTAATGCCAGAGAGTGCTGAGGGATGCCTAGAGGTACACCCAGGCCTCGTGTTCATAACCTGGGGGCAGGGCGGAGTGTGGGGGAGCAAGAATGAGCCACGCTTCCTGCCTGGCTCATTGGAATTAATTATGGAATTCCTGCCTGACTCTGCTGATGGAATTATCCCTTCCCTTTTCATGCAGCTTCTGCTCTTTCCAACCCAGCCTGAAGGGGAAAACTGCCTCTGAGGACCCCCTCAATCTAAGGTAATGGCGGGCAGCCATGCTCTCTGGGCATGGCACTGCCTTGGCTTTGATGTTCCTCCTCACCTCCTCCTTCTCTAAAGAAGTCCTGATGAGAGCATGCCCATCTGTTTCCCTGATTTTTCTCTCTCCTATTCCTGTACATCCTTCATCCTACTCCTGAAATTCCTTCTGCCAATTAAACCTTTGTGAACAGACTTGAAGTCCCACAGGCTCTGTGGCTTTTTCAGACCTAAATGGCAGGAAACCACCCTCTGCCTATGGTGACTGGGCAGGTGGCACAGAGGTGTGGAGTCAGGCACAGCCTTGGAGGTCAGGCCCTCCCGTGGGGGTGTGTGAGCAACCCCAGGGCTGTTCCTCCTGGGATGAGGGTTTCTGAATGCTTAGAAACTAACTTCATATACAGTGGTGTACAAATCAGATGTTAATTTAGGCAACTCTGCCATGGGGCATCTCTCCCAGTGAACAGATTGCTTGTCCCTCCCCCAGGTCCTTCTTACAGCTACCCAGTTCTCTGGAAGTCCACTTAGAGATCAGTCGGTATTTTTATTTCATTTAGGGGTGAGAATAGAAAAAGATGGTTGCTGGTTTTCTCCAGGAATCTGTGGGGGCCAAGCAAGAGGGAATCCCAGGAATGACATTCAAGATATTTACAATCGGTATAAAATGGGTCTCGCCAATTCCTTCAAAATCATTTATCAATAGTGTGCAATACCTGGTATTTGCTGCTTGACAGAACAAGCAAAATAGTAAAAAATAAAAGTCTCCTGTCCTTATTGAATTCACATTCTCATGAGGATAGACATAAACCAATATAAATAAGTGAACCATAAAGAATATTAGATAATTATAAGTGTAAGTATAAAAAACCAAGCAGATAGAGGTGGGCACTGAAATCTTAGATGAGGTGGCAAGTGAAGCCCTTATCAAGGAAACACTCTTTGAATTAAGACTTGGGCAAAGTGGAGAAAAAGTTATGCAACTAACTGAGAAAAGAATGTGTTAGACCCAGGGAAGAGCAGGGCGTGGCTGAGGCCTGTAAAATTGGAGTGCAGGGAGTTAGCTGGGGTGGAGGTGAGGGAGGTCATAGGGGGTAGTTGGTGCAAGATTATGGTGTTGTTATTATTTCAAATAGACGGGAAGCATTGGAGGGTTTTGAGCAGGGATGACGTGAACCGACATATTGATAAGAATCACTCTGGCTGCTGTGCCAAGGGTAGTCTGTAGTGGGTCAAAGGCAGAAGCTGGAGACTAGTTAGGAAGCTGTTGCTGGAGGCCATTGCAGTAATCCAGGTGAGAGAGGATGGTGGCTTGGATCAGGAACATGACAGCAAAGATGGTGTGATGTGATCAGATGATGGACAAGTTTAAAGATACATTTGATAGGATATGATGACAAATCAAGTGCAGGAAATGCATGTATGAGAGAGAGGACTAAGATGGAGAATTTATGCTTCAGCAATTGGAAAATTAAACCAGTATGATCACAGGAAGAGTGGCTGTAGGGCCACATGTGAATTTCGAGATGCCTATCATACATCCAGGTGGAGGCATCATGATGGCTATTGGGCATATGAATTTGGACTTCAAGAGAGAGGTTCAGGTGAGACATAAATTTGGAATAGTGTTTAAAGTCATGAGAGTGGGTAAGATTATCAAGAATGCATGCACGTGGCAAAGAGGTCGGAGGACTGTGCCCTGGGCACACCAACCTTTAGAGGGTAAGGACATGGGCAGGGCCAGCTGAAGAAATGGAGAAGTAGCCAGAAAGGTAGTAGAAACTGCAGGTGTGAAAGATGTCCTGGAAGCCAGGTAGAGTGATTCGAGGTGGGAGTGGTCAAGTATTGTTGATAAGCCAAGTGGGATAAGAACTGAGAAATGACCATTGAGCTTTGAAACCTAAGAGTCATTGATGACCTTCAATAGACCTGTTGCAGAGGCTGCCAGCAGAGGCTCCTATTGTGCCAGGCACTTACCCTTTGGTTTATAGATTGTGGTGGAGTCCAAGGCATGCCAGGGTATGATCCAGGGGACCTGGGCCACAGTGGGTCGCTGCAGTTGGGATGGCTGTTTAACAACTGTAATGGGCATAGTTCAATAGTTAACAACAGGATACTCCTAATTGGGCATATCTGCTGAATCCCAGCGCTGCTGATCTCATATTGTTTATGTTCCATATAAGCCTTTATGTTCCCACTTAGATTTCTTAGCACTATTCAGTGCAAGATAGAAAGCTATTTCAAACTAATTGAAGCAAAAAAAGAGGATTCATGATCACATCTACATGAGGGTCAAAAGCGATCTGGCTGCAGGCATGGCTGGACCTCTAGGCAGAATAAGTTTGCAGAAAGTGGCGGCTCTCCCTCTCTCAGGGAAGATTTCGCTTGGACGGGCTCCATTCTCAGTAGACATTCTCAGCACAGGGGCATGGATGCTCCCACAGCTACAGACTGACAGTCAATCATACAGGAATCCCAGCACACACCACACATGCTCTATCCCGGTAATTTTAGCGAAACTTTCCAAACTGCCATTTTCGCAAGTTAGGTTAATTACATGCCCATCCCAGAATCCCAGAACCAATCAAATGTTTTCATTGGCCGGGTAAGAGAGATGCGCCCACCCAGCTTCTGGGGTTAGGGTCAGTCTCACCCAACTACATAGACCAAATTGAGGGGATTGTGGTTCTTTGAGAGAATCAAGGTTCTGTTATCCACAAGGAGGTGAGCACCGAGGTGTCAACAAAAGCAGGTCTACTCACAGCTCCATGCAGAGGGAAGTTCCAAGCCACAGCACTCATGGGTTGCACATGGCTTTCTCTCTCCCTGGAGCAAGGCTGCGTCAACTGTGACACACATCACTTCACTGGGCCCTGTTGTCTCTGCAGCTCACCCTTGGATGAACCTATTCTGTAATGTCACTCAGCGACAACACAGCTGTCCCTATGACTATGGGTAGCTCTCTGTCCATTCTTTGTCCTTTGTCCTCAGAGTCTTAGTGATGCCTTTCCCGGAAACACATACCTTCTTCCACATACCCTCTACTCCAAATAGAGAGGGGCAGGTAGAGGAGGGGCAGAGGGAGGAATGCAGAAGAGCTGCTCACCTCCAGATGTGTCCACTAAGTTGGAGGCCCCTCAGAAATGATTGCCAGGTCGGAGGAAGATGATGCTCTGTGAATGAGTCAGATGTCTGGAGATGACTCCTTACTCATCCACAGGTTGATGATGACCTGCAGTGCCGCCCTGTGTACTAGCTTGCTTCTGTGGGACAGTTGAGCTCCATTCTGATTTTATTTCCATTGTGATTATTTTTGCCATCATGGCTACCTGATCCCACTGGAGAAGGGTCTTCCAGGGCTATGCTGGGTCACGCCGGACACAGTCTCAGCACAGCTCCAGGTTGGAGACCTTTGGGGAAGCTTCTGGGATCAACTAGGGAAAGTACATGGTGCTCCAGAGGAATGCTCGTCTCAGCTCATGGAAGGAGAACCTGAGCGAAATGTGGACACCCCACAGAGTCCCAGCCCTAGGCTCTGAGGCCACCCATGCAGCGAGGGGATGTGGTGAGATTGTGCTAAATAAACAGTCAGCCCTGGGCTTCAGGATCAAGCTCACTTGGGCTTGTAGTAGGTGCCCAATAAATTGTAATCCTTCATCCTGGTTTTAGAATCACCTGATGTGTGTTTGGGCCTGTTAACAGAACAACTGATTAAAAGCAGGTGGCTCTCCTTGCTCTCAGCTCCTCAGGGTGCCCCCCTCTCCAGCCCTTCTCTTGCCAGCCCAATTGTGGCTTCAGGAACTCTAGGGTGGGAAGGCAGTGGTAGCCCTCAGCTTTAGGAGGGCTTGGCTGGCTACTGCCATGTGCCTGGAATGAAGCTGATTATTTTTCTTTTGATAACTGGGGGCAATAATCATAGAATGAGTCTTGAAAAATGCCTAGCTACTTGTTAGTCACTCTAGTGAATGTGGACTTCTTACCTATAAAGGAGGTGTGTGTGCCATTCTAAGCATTTTCAACGGAGCCATGACTCTTGGCCTGGGCTACAGATTTTCGTGTCCTGAACCTCAGCTTTCGATAACCCATATGACTCCTTTGGACACCATTCCACGTGTACAGAAGCCAGAGCTTTTGGTGTCAGAGTTTTGCTGAGGCTTTTGGTGACAATGGCTGCCTTCATAACTGTATATATACTAAGGAGGATCTCTGAGCCTGGATTCCAAGTGGAAAATACTTGCAAAGTCTGCATGAATCCTGTCCCCATGGTACAGGACTGAACCTTCTGAAGACAGCATGGCAGCCTGTTCAGACTTCTGTGGGGTGCAAGGTTCTGCAGGCCGACAGGGCCTTTTAACATATGCCAGCTAGAGCTGCTGGATGAGTCCTGCTCTGTGGTGTTGAATATAGGCAGGATCTTTAAGATGTGAGAGGACCAATCAGAAAAGGAGAAACGAAGGCAGGAGCTGCTGGGAAAGAGGGCAGCTAGCTAGAATGCACTTGTGGATAAACACACATCCTCACACTGAAATGTACTCATGCTCTTCCATAAAGGGCTACAGACAGCTTCAAAATTAAACAGGGTACAACCATCCTTTAACAGCCCAACACTCCTTTAAAAGGGAAAAAATAGATGTGATCATTTGGAGTGATTTAGTTACTCTAATTGTCCTGAGACTAAGAAAAGTAAAACAAACAATCATGTTGGCTTATACTGTTTTCCAAGGATAGATAATAAGAAACAGGCTTTTGCGAATTTTTTTTTTTTTTTCTGGAACATACTTTCTTTTTGTGCTGAATAGCAAATTTGGTTCTTCTGTAAGGAATTGTGGGTACCAGTGGTGGTGATTCCTTTTTAATAAAGTATACAAAAAAGAGTGATGGGAAATATAATTCTCTGTATTGGTTCTCTGCAGGAACAGGAGCCTATCATTTGAACTTATTTTTGTACAGGCATTTCTTTGGGAAGCTAACATTACCTGTCTCAGTTACATTGCTTTCTAATGACCTCAGTTCATACTGAGCCCAGAGTTTAAAACACTCAGAGAAATACAAGGCTAGGATGCCTGTCTGGCTCTCTTTTCCTCAAATCTCTCTTGGGCTAAGCACATATTTTTGGATAAACTGAAACATCCACATCACTGAGGCAAAAGTGTCCCCAGGCTGGAGAAATCTTTTGGGTGTGAGGTGGTGCTTATATTCAGGGCCTGATTATACCTGAGTATTTGCAGTTGCCGAAATCATTTCTTAGTTGTGTACACTCTTTATATATAATGTTTAGGATGAAATTCTTTTGGGGATGCAAAGTTTTACAGTTGAACATTTTCAGCTCATTGTTTTCTTTAGAGATTTTCTTTGAAAAATAATGAAAGACAAAGAATTTAGAAAACCAACCAGAAGAACTTATGCAATTCCCATCAGAATATGGTCTTCTGTGATAATTAACCGCACCCCAGAGACACCACAGTTAGCTGTGAGGAAGCTAAAGCTCAAGTTCCCTGCCCTAGCGTTTCTCCTCCTTCACTCTTGCCCCCTAGAGATTCATGCCGTTGGCTACAGATCTGTAAGGTACACAGTTGCTTAACTGGCAAAGCTAGTGCCGGCTCTACCACTGAGTGGAGAAGCATGGTCCTTGGGTTTCTTGCTGAAGTAAAGCCCTGGGAGTGCAACTGTGGAGATCAAACTACTCATATTCTGTGTCGAGAGTGGAGTCACTGGAACCAGAGCTGAACAGCACCTGGCTGCAAACTCAAAATGAGAGTGACAGCCAGTGCTGCAGTGTCTAGGAGCTTGTCCACACAGTTGGCTCCGTGGGCCATGGGCATCCGAGACCTGGCCATTCTGCCTAGGTCATGCTTAGACCTTGGCCCTGGCCCCATTCCACATTCATCTTTGTCTGGCTGTACTAGGTTCATGCCTCGTCTCTGCTATATCCTTAGCCGTAACCTCAGATCCTTCCAGGGCAAAAGCCTGATGCAAGCCCCAGTCTCTGCAGCAAGCCTGCCCCTTTTCCTTCCAGTTCCACCCAGCCACATTGCTGGAATGGCAATGAGCAACCCACTGAGTCAAGGTTTTCCCCATCCTAGTTGCCACCTATGTCCAGCTACCTCCAGAAAACCTGGGACATAGAGAATACATGCAGTTTCTATTTATTTTAGCAACACTTTCAGGAATCTGCAAGAATAAGATCAACAATGGCTAATTTTAGATTAGTCAGGTGAGCCGAGGTTAAGATGCCTGAATTCCCTTACTCTGTGCCTGAATTGCATCTCTAGGCTGGCTCGGTGTGTCAGATTCTCACTTTAAGCTTGCCATAGGGCCTCATAAATCAGCACTGGGCAGATGCATAAGGATCTATTGATTGTTGTTGCATTTAGGCTGTAAGATTTTTTTTTTAATTTTTATTTTAAAATATTGATTCACAGTTGCAAATATAGTAGAGAGGCTCCATACACCTTTCACTTAATATCCCCCTCACCATGGTTACATTTTACATAACCATAGTACAATTTCAGAACCAGGACATTGACACTGGTACATGTATATGCATAGTTCTTTGTCATGTTATCACGTGTAGATTTGAGTAACTACCATCACTATCGGCGTACACAGTTATTTTATCACCACAAAGATACCTCTGTGCTACCACTTTACAGTCATGCCTGCCCCTGTCTTCCCCCACCATCCTTAAATCCTGAGAATCATGAATCTGTTTTTGATGTCTATTATTTTATCATTTAGAGACTGTTCTGTATATGGAATCGTACATTAAGTGACTTTTGCAGATGGACATTTTTTCTTTGCTAATAGTGGCATTGAGATACATTCAAGTCCTTGTGTGTACCAATGGTCTGTTCCTTTTTATTGCTGAGTAGTATTCCATGATAGGAATATACCAGAGTTTGTTTAACAATTTGTGCATTGAGCAATATTTGGTTGTTTCCATTTTGTGGTCATTACAAATAAAGCAGATCATTTACATTTATTGTAATAATCAAAATATTAGAATACAAGTCTGCCATTTTATTTTTTGTTTTCTGTTTTTTCCTGTTGTTCATTTCTCTGTTTTCTTTTTCCTGCCTACCTATGTACCACTGAAATATTTGATAAATTCTACTTTATCTGTAGTATTTTCAGCATATTTTTCTATATAACTTTTTGTATAAATTGGAATTGCCTGAGGTGTCTGTCTTAATCCATTTGCGTTGTTACAAAGGAATACTTGACACTAAGCAATTTATAACTAAAGAAATTTATTTGGGTCATGGTTCTTGCAAGCTGTACAGGAAGCATTGAGCCAGCATTGCCTTCTGGTGAGGGTATAGGTGCTTCCACTGATGGTGGAAGATGAAGGGGAAAAGGCATCACATGGTGACAGGAAGAAAGAGAGATAGAAGAGGAAGGTGCCAAGCTCTTTTTAACAATCAGTTTTCAACAGGATCTAATACAGCGAGAACTCACTCATTATCAAGAGGATGGCACCAGGCCATTCATGAGGGATCCCTCCGCATGACCCAAACACCTCCCAACCTTGGGGCTCAAATCTCAACATGAGGTTTGGCGGGGACAAACGCCCAAACCATATCAGTATCTCATGATGCCTATGTAACTTATCACAGACTACTGGCATTGAGATATACCAGGCTGAGTGAAATGTAGAGGCAGTAAGCCTTTTAAGTCTTAAAGTCTTTTTTTTTCCACTTTCGAAGGATGTTAATGTTTCATATATTGAAAAAACTTAGTAAAAAGCAAGAATGGAAGGAACACAAAAGTAAATACAAACAGACACACTTAACTGTATGCAAACTAGATTATATAATTACACAGAGAGAAAAAAAATGATTCAAGTGATTTTGGATACAGCTTTTGGATTATAACACCCTGATTGGGATATATTCTAAAGGAGAAGAATGGCAAAAGAATTTTGAACTTCTTCATTTGTTGTTGGTGGTGTTGTCATAGCAATTCCAGTACTGCATTGTATCTATTGTAGGATTCAGCAAGTGAGTAAATTCAGTGATGTTTGTAATGCAGATTTGCACTGTGGGAGAAGGATAATACAAATATGGAACGAAAGTCTTAAAGTCTTAAATAATTAATTATCTATAATATGTAATCTATAGTTTTCTTAATTTTTTTTCTCTATATTCATTTTAAAAACCACATCAACTATTTCCTAAAGTCATTTTTACACACAGGTGAGCTAAAGCTAAGGGAGGTGAAGTAAATTTGAGAAGCAAGTCATTGGCTTAGCCAGCTCCGGCGAGCCCGCTCTCCAGAAGATTCCACTTGCCACTCTGTCTTCTGCTAACTGGGGGCTTCTCCTCTTCAGAGTTATTTATTCTGTTATGAGTAGTCTTCAAGTTTGTGCCATAGCTACTCTAGGCAGATGTTGAGTGTATCCTGAGGATGGAGACACAAGAAGCTGAGGTAATTGCTCCAGGCCACAGGGGCAAACACAGAAAGGGCAGAGGTCAGGCCAGCTCACCAAGGTGATGCCGGCTTTCAGGATGGTCAAGGTAGTGTGAATAGGGATTTTGTTCTATTTGAGGAAAGAGAACCCCCAAGGCTTTCCTATGAAGTATCTTTATGCTTAATACAATTTCCAAGAAGTAAAGGTGACTGAGGTATTTTAGAGCATGAAGGAGCACCAACATCAAACCTTTTCCTTGGCAGTAAAGGAAATAGAGTGCAGAAGACGCCTCCTGACTGGCCTCTGTCTCCAGTCAGCTTCATCCCGCTGCCAGCATTTCCTGGCTAAAGAGGCGTCTGACTTGAATGCATTCTGAGGCAAATCCAGCCCGCTGCCTGTGTATGTCTGAATCCTGGTGAAGTTAAATGCCCTTGAAATGCCTTCCTGAGATGTGTGATAAGAGGGAAAGTATGATAAACCCCCAGGGCAAGGCTGGAGGGTCAGGCCAGCCAAGCAGTTGGCAGCAAGGAAGGGTGTCGAGGACCCAGCACAGCAAGGAGTGTGCTGCGGCAGGGGAGGGAGGGCGTGCACCGGCACACCCTGGGCGCCACGTGGGATCTGTAACCTTGATGTTTCTCTTAAATTCTCTCCTTTGCTGATCCTTTTGAATACCTAAGGAGGGAAAATTAATTCTAAATAAAAAGTGTTGGGAAGTCATCATGTAGCTCTCCAGCACTCTCTGTCTTGATCTCACATCTCTGCTTAGACTCCATCCCTTTTGGATCAGAGGAGAAGTGACTGCAATAGCAGACTGGCTCTCCTGTGGACATGCCCAGGGCCCGGCAGGCTAGTGGTGGCTCCTGTACCTACAGCATGGCGACTCATCACACATGTCTCAGGCACGGTTGCTCCCCTCAGCTTCAGAAGGGCTTCTCATGAGTCATTTCAGACATTAGGTGAAAATAAAAATGTGAAGGACAGTGCTCAGTGGTGGCAAGGATGCTCTGAAATGGGTTGTCTGCTACGTTACTGGCAGGCATATAAATATGGGTAAAACTTTTATGAGCTACTTGATGGCATATGTAAACATTATTGTTAAAACTCACCCTTTAACACAATATTTCCAATAATGAAGCTATGCCAAGAAAATAATTCAAAATAATTTTAAATGTTTTAGTTATACAGGCTCTCATCACAAGACCATTCCCATTAGTGAAAAACTGTAAATAACTTAAAGGCTCAACAGTAACTTATAGTTATGTGTATCCACAAGAATACTATCTTGCAGACGTTTTAAAGTGTGGTTATTAACATGAGGTAACAGCATGGGTCTCAAAGCAGGACACAAAATACGGAAATGCTATAATTTTGACTATGTATCAAAATATATATAGAAAAATAAGGAACTCTGCCAACATTGCCGTTGGCTTACCCTGTAGAATGATGGATGCTTTAATCTACTATATTTAATAGTGTGTTGGGGTTCTGTTACTTCTACAGTGAAAAACAATTTAATAAAGGGAAAAACTAAAGTGAAAATGTTGAACCTAGATCTCCCAAGGTTTTAGAACTATGATAGGGTTGTCATAGCTAAGCATCACAGAGGAAGTAAGCAGCAAGGAGTGAAGAAGTGAAGTGTGCCATCTGCTGTGGCTGACAGTGTGAGGAGGAAGGAAGTTAATCCCACGTCACTGATGGATGCCTCTCAGTGCTTCTCGCCATCCACTCAGCAAACTTTCCACCAACATAGGAAAGTCTTGTGGGAAAACAAAGTCTCCCTCAAGGTATCACTCTTGATTCTTTTCTTTTACGCACGTGAAGATATGAGAATGTGGTACATAGTGAGGTCAGAGAAGGTTATCAGCTATTGTGAGGATTGACTTGACTGCTGTCATTTTCTATCAAAATATCTAGTGTGTAGTAGTAGTAGTATTTCGAAGTAGTATTTTGGCTTTGAAATGAACCAAGTTACGATTCTAGAAGAGAGCTGGCTTCTGCTGAGTACTTTCTCCATGTGCTGCCTGTTTTAGAGGCACAGAACCCTTGGAATTAGTTAGGTATGGCATTATTCCCACTTCATGGATGAGGGGACCAAAGCTATGTTAGGTGTCCAAGGGGATGCCAAGTCAAAAGCAAAGCTGCCATGGACCTAGATCTGTCCAACCTCAGAATCTTGGACTTCTCTCTCTGCCAGGCCAGCCCTGCACATCCTCGATCCTGATCCCCCAAGTTCCTCAGACAATGGTGCTCTGCCCATCTCCTTTCAGCTGCTCTCTCCTTTCAGCTTGCACCAGGCAAGCCAAACTTTCCCCAGCTGGACATGGCCCCTGCACCTAGCATTGTGCCAAGTAAGGTGTTGATTTACTGAATGCACCAACCCATACCTGCCCCCATTCTTTCCTTCCTCCCATGAGGGTCTGGAAAAATGATGAATGTAATGGGATGGGAGTGCGACTTCATTAATTCACAGCCAGTCAGAGGTCTACAGGTTTCGTCAAGAAAGCTCCTAAAGGAAGTTATACAAGCTCAGTTCAGAGAGAAAGCATTGCTTTGGGCCAAGAGGCTTTCTGCCTATTGATGCCTTAATGATAAAACCTGCCCGTTTCTGTGGCCCATCTTTGTTCCTTACCCAAGACCCAGTACTCATCTACTCTCTTACAAACTCATGCTCTGAGATTTCTTGCCTTTGAAGCCCAGACCTAAACCATTTCCAGTAAATAGCTCCACATTTGGGAGCTGGTGGTTGGTTCTGAAATGCCAGCAATAGTCAATGTGTGGCAGCATTAGCTGCCCAGACAGCAGTAGGCCATAGAACTCTGGGGACAAGAGTAGGACGAACATGGATAGCCCCTTCCTGACTCACTGTGCCTGTACTTGTGAGTGCTTGTGCAGAGGAGAGAGAAATGTGTGCAATGGCAAGGAACTGAAAGCCCTTCAATCAACACAATCACACGCCAAGGAAGTAGGGAAAGGAGCTTTATGGGCTTGGCTGGAAGAGCTGTTGCAGTCACAGGGGAGCCTTGGTTTCCTGTGGATGCAGCCCACTGCCCCCTTCCCTCCATCTCTCTTCCCCTCCTGCCTTAGGGTCAGGGTCCCAGTCACCTCCAGTCTTCCTGGGACTCCTTGGCCGTGGAATTGGGTAAGATCAGGTTGGAAAAGATGGCCTTTCTCGGCGTTGTCATGGCCATGGTCTTTATTCTATTCAGCTTGTCCCGGGCATTTTGGCATTTTCTCAGGCATGCTGCACACAGATCCTTCTCCTCCACCAGATACAAATTCTCCAGCCTCCTGATGGAGTCTATGAACGTTTCCGACTCGTCTGGCTTTGGAAAGGGGTTCCGCTTTGTGTTGAGCTTTTTCAGCTTCGGGAGCTTGGAGATACTCGTGGGGATGGTGTTCAGCAGGTTGTCATGGAGCCCTACCTCGTGGAGCTCCTTCAGGGCCCCCAGCGTGGTGGGCACGCTGTCCAGGTGGTTCAAGCCTAGGTTCACAGTGCGGATGTTCTTGAGTTGGTTCAGCTCCACAGGCAGCCCGTTGCTGGTCAGCCGGTTGTTGCTGACATTGAGATAGAGCAGGCTGGTCATCTGGCCGATGGACTCAGGCAGCTTGTCGATGTAGTTGCTGTGCAGGTCCAGCCACCGGAGGTTCTGGAACTTGGAAATGGAGTCAGGGATCTTCCTGATCAGATTCCGGCTAAGGTCCAGCTCATCTACGTCATTGAGGCGCAGGATGCACTTAGGGAAGGTGGTAATTCCCATCTTGCTCAAGTCAAGGCGCTTTCTCCCATCAAAAGTGATTTTGATGCAATTCTTGGCCACGTTGAGGGTAATCTTCTTGCCCTTGGGGCCTTTCCCACCCTTAGCCATGTTCTTTTAGTAAGTGGGTGATAGAAGTTTGTTGTTCTGATTGGATAGTTATCAGTGTGAGGAAAAATCATGAGAAACTGCTGAAAGATAAGAAAACATCTGGTTAGAAGATGCCAGAGGGCACTGGGCTCCCCCACATCATGACGCTTCACTCTGTAATGATTTTAAAAGCAGGAAAGAGGATGGCGGAGAGAAGTCAGGGTGAAGTGGACCCAGCTTAGCCATAGATCGTCAGCAAACTATGTGCCTTCTTCAGATTTTAATTTCTTGGTTGTTTAAATAGGAAGTGCAGGGACGGCCTGAAGGACACTACATGTCCCCCTAGCTGTGCCGTGCCCTGACTATAAATCCCCTCCACTGTCCTGGACTTTCCCATATGCCCCCACCCACAGTCATGTGTGTGTATGTGTTCTTGGATATCTGCCCGTTTCTCGACCCCCACATAAAGCTAGGCTTTCCTTAAGTTATCATACAAGTTTCTGGGGAGGGTCTGCTGAGTTTTCAAAGCCAACAGAAGCCTGGATCTTACAGAATAGTGTGGGTACTAAGATCTACTTCTCACATCCTTCTTTCCTTCATGGGCTCAGAGGAACTAGTCAGGCCTGGGCTACAGTGCAACAGGAGTCATGCAGAAAAGCCTGTTGTTCAGCTCAGGGGTACCAGGGTGCACCAGCTCTGCTACTCACAATCTTCTTAAATTCCCAGTGCTTGAGTGTCCTCATGAGCACACAGTGGGATGGTGGGTACTGGCAAAGCTCACGGAGAATGCTGTCTTTTCCATCTCCTACCCCTTCCCTCCTCCTCTCACATCCTTCACACTGGACTTCAACTCCTCTGCACAGACACTTGATAAATCGCCATGACTGCCTCAGTGTGGGGAAACAGAATGTCGATGTGATGTGATGGGGATTCTGTCTTCTGTATGCTTGGCTTAGAAGTCCAGCTCTGCTACTCACAATCTTCTTAAATTCCCAGTGCTTGGGTTTCCTCATTTGTGAAAACAGACGCTCTTATAGAGCTCTGAGGCGGTGTAAATCACCTAATACTATAAAGCACTTATAACAGTGCCTAGTGCATAGTAATAGCTTGATTAATGTTAGTTATTAAAAATTGCTATACATATTGTTTCTAAACCTCAACAGCAAGATCCACAGCATTACCCCTATCATAGAGAGACCAAGGCTCAGAAGTAAGGAAGGTCTGCAGCCAGGAAGAGGATGCAACTCTGCTCTGTTAGGTTCTGGGAACCCATTTTCTTTTCAACAACTCAGTGCCTCGTGCTTGCAAATTTTTTTTTTTTTTTTTTGGACCAAGATTCTAGAACCAGGCAAAAGTATGCCCTTGGGAGACACAAAGTTGCATTGCCTCTGTTCCCTGCAGGGATGGGCTGAGAGAGGTGCTCTACAGTTTCTGTACTTTATCACCTACACCTTTTATTGTGACCCAAGTTCATATAGCATGTGCATATTGAGCAATCAGGCTGTGCAAGCATATTGTCACAGGTTTTCCTCACCCAGGAATGCTCAGTGTCAAAGAGAAATGTGTACAAGCCTGTCTCACACTTGTGCTAAGTGTAGATCCCACTATCACCACTCGTAGCTGAAGGGTCACAGGGTCCCACCCTGTGCAAGGCCTGCTGGATCACAGCCCTCTGGGGTAGATGGTGGTCTCCACAGTAAACCAACGACAGAATTTTTAGCTCTCGGCAGCAATGATGTTCATTTACAGAGGCCTTGTCAGCTGACCCTATTCTTTAAAAATGGTGGACCCCCCACTTTCAGGCATAATTGGCTGGTTTCCAGAGCCAGCACCATATTCATCAGTATGGAACTGTCTATATCACTCAGCTGTGAGAAGCCAGATTGGATAAAGCAGCTTAATAAGCAAAGTGGAGTCCAAGTCCAGTTAAGATTGGGTATGCTCACTTGGTCCCACCAAACTCCTGAAAGCAAGTAAGGCCTTGGGCAGAATGCACAGGGAGGCACTCTGGGGATTCTGAGATAAATGGTATCAGGCAGATTGGAGAAGAAATCCATAACTCAAAGTAAGGACCAATCTGGACACAAGTTTCCTGGACTCCCTTTTCTCCCCTTAACCATTTCCCTTGGCCTGGACTAAAGGGCAGCACAGAACACAAAACTTTGGACCAGATGAGGACAGAAAGATTTCTGATTTCCAACAAGGGCCTCTTTTTCTGGTCCAAGGAACAGGAAAGGGAGTTTTAAGGTTCACAGACAGTGGGGAAAATCTGTTTTGTGCTCTGTTTTTTGTTTGTTTGTTTGTTTGCTTGTTTGTTTACTTCTCTCCTGTCTTATCCCAGGCCACTCTGTGTCCCTGGAGTCATCCAGACAGGCACCTAGAAACTGGAAGAAGAGAACCATTTTCTTTGATCAAACTGTGGTCTTCAGAGCGGGGGGCTTGCTTTGTTTTCTCTACCCTACTGCCACTTGGCACTAGAGGCAAAAACAGTTGCAAGAAGTGTGCATCAGATTTAGAAAACAAAATCCAGCCAGAAGACCAACAAGTCGGGAGAGAAGAGATGCTCCTGGGAGTCGCAGAGTGTCAGAGAGATTGCAATGGGACAGGAATTCAGGAAAAGTGATTCCAAAAGTTGTGTAGCAACCCTGGACTCACCCTGAGCTGCCTCTGCTTAAAGGCAGATGTGATTTCTTCATTATGTGAACATCAAAGAGTGTACTTACACAAACCTAAATGGTATAGCCTACTATAGACCTAGGTGCTTTTTAAAAGTAAAAAGTCCTGCTTTAAAAATATGTGTGTGTGTGTGTGTGTGTGTGTGCAGTCATGTGCCACATAATGATGTTTTGGTCAATAACAGATTGAATACACAACAGCTGTCCCATAAGATTATGATACTGTAAGTTTACTTTACCTCTTCCATGTTTAGATACACAAATACTTACTCTTGTGTTACAATTGCCTATAGTGTTCAGTACAGTAACATGCTGTACAGGTTTGCAGTCTAGGAGAAATAGGCTAAACCATCTAGTCTACCTAGATCTGTAGTAGGGTATACCATCTAGGTTTGTGTAAGTGCACTCTTTGATGTTCACACAATGATGAAATCTCCTAAGGATGCATTTTTCAGAAGGTGTTCAACCCAGACTGCGACAGTATCCTTTATAAATGAAGGCAAAATAAAGGCATTCTCAGATGGGTGAAAAATAAAAGCTTTTGCCACTAACTCAGCTGCTGTGAAAGATATGCCCGAGGAAGTTCTTCAGATGAAAGGGAAACTGTACTAAAGGGGAGCTTAGAACTTTGGGGATAAAGGAAATGCAATGGAAATGCTAAATATCTGAGTAAATGAGTATTTTTCTCTTCTAAATACCTTTAAAATATGTATGTGATTGAAAGAAAAATAACACTGTGTGATGCAGTTGTCAAGGTATGTAGATGTCATACATGGCAACTACTGCATAATGGGAAAGGCAGCGAGACCCATATGGTGGTAAGAGTTTTATACTGCTTTTGAAGTGGTGAAAGATTCATTCTAAGAAGGCTGTAAAGTATGTATACTTTAATCCTCAGAGCAATCACTAAGGCAATATATAAAAAGATACGTTAAATAGTAAAAAACTAAATGTATAAATGGAAATAAAACAGACCTTAAAAATTCAAATAAATACAAAAGAAGGAAAGCAAAATAATACAAAAGCAGGAAAAGGGAACAGAGGGAGCAATCAGAAAACAACTATTAAAATGATAGACTGAAATTCAAACACAGAAATACTTACATTAAATGAAAGTGACCTCATACACCATAATCTTTTAATAAAGACACAATTATCAGAATGGGTTACAAAAGAAAAAGACTCAATTATATGTTATCTATAAAGAAAATCTACTTTAAATAAATAAAAGTGAGTTGAACTAAAAGAATGTAAAAAGACATACCCTGCAAACACTAAAAGAAGGATGTAGTGACTTCATTAATATTAGGCAAAGTATATTTGAGAACAAGAAAATTTAGCTGAAGAAGATCATTACTTATTAATAAAATGAGCATTTAACCAATGAGACAAAAAAATCCTAACTATGCATGTACCAAACAGCAAAGCTTCAATTTAAATGAAGCAAAAATATAAAATTTAAAGCAAAAATTTACCATTAGAATTGGAGATATCAATATTTGTCTCTCAGCAGTCAATAGAACAGGTAGAGAGAAAATCAGCAAGGAAAAGGATTTCTCAACCTTGGCTCTATTGACATTTTAGACCAGATAATTCTTTGTTATCAGCAGGCATGGGGTGGTGACAGGGCTTGTGGGAAGACCTGTCTTGTGCATCATAGAATGTCTAGCAGAGTAAGGCCAGGAGATTCTACCCACTGGTTGCCAATAGCTACCCACTAGTTATAACAATCAATAATGTCTCTTGACATTGCCAAATGTCCACTGGGGAGCAAAATTGCCTGGAGATGAGAATTACTAGTATAGAATAACTCACTATTACCATCAACCAACTGAATCTGACATTTGCAAAGCACTCTACCGAGCAATTGCAGAATACAAACTCTTTTCCAGGTACATATGGAATATTCACTAACACAGACTATATTTCAGGTCATGAAACAAACCTTAACAAATTTACAGGAGTTGAAATTGTACAAAAAACCTGGTTCTTTGAAAAGATTAATGAAAAAATAGCCAGATTCACAATTTTGAAAAAAGAAAGAGAAGCCAAATTACAAATATCAGGGTTAAAGGGAGGATTTACTAAAACCCAATAAGAGAACAATACAAACAACTCTAAAAAAAGAGGAACTTAGATAAGATCAACTACAAACTACTAAATATTTATGAAGGAATGAAAACCCAAATAGACCTCTATTTATTGAAGAAATTGAATTCATCATTGAAAACCTTTCAGAAAAGAAAACCCGAAGCCCCACGTTATTGATAGAATAGAATGTTGGTAGAATTGCTAAATTCCATCAAACATTTAAAGAAGACTGTCTCGGTCCACTCAGGTTACAGTAACAAAGTACCACAGACTAGGTGGCTTATAAACAATGTAAATTTATTTCTCTCTGTTCCAGAGGCTGGGAAGTCCAAACCA